AAGTACCACCAACTAACCAGGGCACCCAGTTGACGTCCAAGGTAACTAAAGAGCTTTGCAAACTTCTGAAGGTGACACAATTACGTACTTAAGTGCATCACAAATGTTAAGGAAGGGGATTGGTAAAGACAGAAAGAATTGGGATTGTCTACTTATTTAATGTTTGCTCTCAGAGAGATTCCACACTCATCCACAGACTTCTCCCCTTTTGAGCTACTGTACGGGAGGCACCCACGGGGGCTACTGGCCAGCAAAACATGGGAGAGTGAAAGCTCCCTGCATAGAAGTGTGATTGAACATGTGGCACAAATGTAAAGTATAATTGTGCAAGTGATGCCTATTGTGAAGGAATATTTGGCTCAAGCCTAGTTGGCTCAGCAGAGGATTTACAATCGTAGGGCCCAGGTCCGTACTTTTTCACCTGGTGCTGGTCCCCACGGTTGAAAGTAAATTAATAGCCAAATGACAGGGTCTCTATGAAGTGTTGGAAAAAATGGGTGATGTGAATTATAAAACCAACCAGAAAGACGGAAACCTGAACAGGTATATTATGTGAATTTGCTAAAACCATGGAAGGATAGGGAATCCTTGGTCACAGACTATCCCACTTCCCGCTCCACCTAACTTGGTAATCCCTGAAGTTGGGACAGCGGAAACTCTGTCCAAAACTCAGCAGCAGGAAGCTATTGACTTTGTTCTCCGCAATAAAGAAAAATTCGCAAAATTGCCAGGGTTGGTGTCTGGGATTTAGCATAACATTATTTGCTTATCAGCCGAATAAGTCAACTGAGGACGCCATTTCTACAGTACTTCATTCTGCTCTGACTCACCTGGACAATCCCGACACTCAAGTAAGGCTGTTTGTTGATTTCAGCTCAGCTTTTAATACAGTTCATCCTTCAAAGCTAATCTTGAAGCTGAAACAGCTTGGCATCAGCATGCTTCTTTGTAATTGGATCCTGGACTTCCTTACAAACAGACCACGGTCTGTACGACTGAACGCCTTCACCTCTTCCAGTCTTAACATCAGCACTGGGGTTCCTCAAGGATGTGTATTGTCTCCTCTTCTATACTCCCTTTTCACCTATGACTGCTTACATGTCTATACATCAAACAGCATTGTTAAGTTTGCTGAGGACACCAGGGTGGTAGGCCTGATCAGAGGTAAGGATGAGACGGCTTGCAGGGGGGAGATCCAACACCTAGTCACTTGGTGTGAGGACAATAATTTGGAATTTAACACCAAAAAGACAAAGGAGATTATTGTGGATTTCAGAGGAGCTGGTAATCACACCCACGCTCCCATTAACATCAATGGAGCTGTTGAGCGTGTTAACAAGCTAAGTTTCTTGGAATCCACATTTCTGATGATCTCACCTGGTCCTTGAATTCTTCTTTCCTGATCAGGAAGCCACAACAGCGTCTTTATTTTCTGGGGAAACTTAAAAAATCCCATCTGTGCTACAGGATATTGGACAATTTTTATTGTTGTACTATTGAGAGCATCCTCACAAGTTGCATCTTAGTGTGGTACAGCAGCTAAACTGCTTTAGACCGCAAAACCCTTCAGAGGGTGGTGAAAACCGCCCAACAAATTATTGGTGTTCAGTTTTCCACCTTGGATTACATTTACAAAAAACGCTGTGTACAAAGGGCGAGGAGCATCATTAATGATGCCTCTCACCCTAACCATGGACTGTTCATACTCCTTCCATCGGGCAAGCGATACAGGTGTCTCAGAGCCCATACAAATAGACTGAAAAATATTTTTTTTCCTGTGGTTGTTAAAGCATTGAATAGCTAATCATTAGACAATATTGCATTACTGTATATTTTATTCACCATTGCATTACTGAGTATTTCATCCATTCATGCACTACTCATTTCACCGATTACGGTATTACTGTATATTCCATACCCCAATTTTTGTTATATTTGTTATTTATTGTAAATGGGCCATTTATGCACTTCTGGCTGAATGCTAACTGCATTGCATTGGCTCCGTACATGTACTTTGCACACAATGACAATAAAGTTGAATGTAATCTAATCTAATAACATTAATACCCAACCAGGGGAAAGGGCCAAGTTGAAAGACTTCTGAATTCCAGAAGCGAGGCGAGAGGCAATGCGCCAAGTAAAAAAAAACATGCTTGAACTGGGGGTTATAGAGGAGTCAAATAGTGAATGGTCTAGTCCTGTTATGTCAGTGCCCAAACCAGATGGAAGTTGATAATTTTGCAATGTCTTTCATCAATTGAATAAAGTCACTAGGTTGATACCTATTCCATGCCACGCATAGACAAATGGATTGATTGCCTAGGGACAGCCCGGTATACGGTGATGATGGACCTGACCAAAGGGTACTGGCAGATTCCTCTCTCGGAATTGGCCATGGAAAAAATGCATTTGTAGATCCAGATGGGTCTTTCCAGTATCAGAGGATGCCTTTTGGGTTGCAGAATGCTCCAGCCACGTTTCAACAGGTGATGGATAAGACCCTTCAACCCCATTGAGCCTATGCTGCTGCATACCTGGATGATGTGGTCATCCATAGTGGGAATTGGGACCCACATGTACAAAAGGTTCAGGCTGTGTTAGATTATATCTGGAAAGCCAGGTTTACAGGCAATCCAAAAAAATTTACCATTGGGCTAAAGGAGACCAAGTATCTTGTATATACCATTGGGAGAGGTCTAATATAGCCCCATGTAAACAAAGTTGAGGCTATTCAAAGTTCTCCACACCCCACCAAGAAGCAAGTTCAAGCTGTTTTGGGAATCGCTGGCTATTAGCGGCCCTTTAATCCCCATTTTGCCTCACAGGCTGCTCCCCTGACTAATTTGACAAAAGGGTAGGAGTCTGTCATAATAAAGCAGATCTCTTAAGCAGTAGCAGCTTTTGTGTCAATAAAACAGGCCTTGTATAGTCAGCCAGTGTTGTACTCCCATGACTTTTCAAGGGACTTTGTGGTCCAGACAGATGCATCAGACATTGGATTGGGAGCTATTCTGTCCCAGGTTTTCAATGGGGAAGGACATTCCGTTATGTTTATAGGAGGGTGAAGAGGTGGTTTCCTGGCCCTTCAAGAATTTAGTTTTACAGTGAAACACTGCCTTGTCTTAAGTGCTCGCATGCCTGGCAACCTGTGTTCCAACCCTGGGGCTGAAACAAGAGGGGGGGTATGTGACAGGAACTCAGCAAAAACTAAGGGATGTGTCCAGAATGGAAGATATATATGTGTCACAGGTTCAAGCAAAGTACGGAATGTTTCCTTTTTCTGCTGTGTGGTGAGCCTTTTTGGCTCACTGAGGAGTTAACAAGATCAGCTGAAGCAGGTTGAGTACTATGAGCTCTATAGAACTCCCAGGCTGCTTAAGGTTGGATTCTCTATCCAGGATCCAGATTTCTGTGCAGGACAGACTGGGGATCAGCCATTTGCTTGTATGGTGAGATTAACTCTGTGTGACTAAGGATTTATTCTGTCTGAAAATCAAGTGCTTGGACAGCTGTAGGCTGTTCCAAGACAGGTAGTTAGGTTCCTATGTTTGTAGTAAGACGTCCAGTGTGGCAAGGGTTTATTTTTTGTTTTTATTTTAATTTTGCAATTTTGATACCTGCACTTTGTAAACACAGACTTTGTAAAAAAAAAAAAAAAAAAAATAAAACAGGCTTGTGTTTCACCAACATCCTGCTTTCTTGCTGTGCCTTTTTCACTATACTGCGACTCATTCAGGGAGTCACACACAACCCGCTACTAAGATAATTCCTCAAACAGTGGAACACCGTATCTTAGCTGAGCAGTAGGTACAATAGAGCAATCTCACAGATCATAATCCAGGTGTTTCAAAAAGTATACATAAAGGACAAACAAAAAAGATTAATAAAAACCAATACATTTTAGTGCAACAAACTAATCTCATATAATGAATAAAACAAAACAGCGCAAAATCAACACACTTCCTCAATCAATAATTTAAACCCCTTAGAGTGAAAAAAAAAAATCAATAAAAAAGGTGCCCTCAAAACATATTAATGACCAAATCAATAAAAAATATATAAGAAAAAGTCCTCGATGGGGCACTATTCCTCCCCCACTGACACCAACGATGGGGCACTATTTCCCCCCCCCCCCCCTGACCCCAATGATGGGGCACTATTCTCCCCTCCACCACACTGACATCAATGATGGGGCACTATTCCTCCCACTGACACCAATGATGGGGCACTATTCCTCCCCCCACTGACACCAACGATGGGACACTATTCCCCCCCCCCCCCTGACCCCAACGATGGGGCACTATTCTCCCCTCCACCACACTGACATCAATGATGGGGCACTATTCCTCCCACTGACACCAATGATGGGGCACTATTCCTCCCCCCACTGACACCAACGATGGGACACTATTTCCCCCCCCCCCCGACCCCAACGATGGGGCACTATTCTCCCCTCCACCACACTGACATCAATGATGGGGCACTATTCCTCCCACTGACACCAATGATGGGGCACTATTCCTCCCACTGACACCAATGATGTGGCACTATTCCTCCCACTGACACCAGTGATGGGGCACTACTCTCCCCCCACTGACACCAGTGATGGGGCACTACTCCCCCCACTGACACCAGTGATGGGGCACTATTCCTCCCACTGACACCAATGATGGGGCACTACTCCCCCCCCACTGACACCAGTGATGGGGCACTATTCCTCCCACTGACACCAGTGATGGGGCACTATTCCTCCCACTGACACCAATGATGGGGCACTACTCCCCCCACTGACACCAATGATGGGGCACTACTCCCCCCACTGACACCAATGATGGGGCACTACTCCCCCCCACTGACACCAATGATGGGGCACTACTCCTCCCACTGACACCAGTGATGGGGCACTACTCCCCCCACTGACACCAGTGATGGAGCACTACTCCCCCCACCGACACCAATGATGGGGCACTACTCCCCCCACCGACACCAATGATGGGGCACTACTCCCCCTACTGACACCGATGGGGCACTACTCCCCCCACTGACACCAATGATGGGGCACTACTCCCCCCACTGACACCAATGATGGGGCACTACTCCCCCCACTGACACCAATGATGGGGCACTACTCCTCCCACTGACACCAATGATGGGGCACTATTCCTCCAACTGACACCAATGATGGAGCACTACTCCTCCCACTGACACCAGTGATGGGGAACTACTCCCCCCACTGACACCAGTGATGGAGCACTACTCCCCCCACTGACACCAATGATGGGGCACTACTCCCCCCCCACTGACACCAATGATGGGGCACTACTCCTCCCACTGACACCAACGATGGGGCACTATTCCTCCCACTGACACCAACGATGGGGCACTATTCCTCCCACTGATACCAACGATGGGGCACTATTCCTCCCACTGATACCAACGATGGGGCACTATTCCTCCCACTGACACCAACGATGGGGCACTATTCCTCCCACTGACACCAACGATGGGGCACTATTCCTCCCACTGACACCAGTGATGGGGCACTATTCCTCCCACTGATACCAACGATGGGGCACTATGCATCCCACTGACATCAGTGATGGGGCACTATTCCTCCCACTGACACCAGTGATGGGGCACTATTCATCCCACTGACACCAGTGATGGGGCACTATTCCTCCCACTGATACCAACGATGGGGCACTATTCCTCCCACTGATACCAACAATGGGGCACTATTCATCCCACTGACATCAGTGATGGGGCACTACTCCTTCCACTGACACCAATGACATGGCACTACTCCTCCCACTGCAAAATTACAGTTATGAAGTAGCAATGAAAATAATTTTATGGTTGGGGGTCACCACAACATGAGGAACTGTATTAAGGGGTCGCGGCATTAGAAAGGTTGAGAACCACTGCTCTAGGATGTATAGGGATCCCAAGCCCCCTCTAAGCCTTCAGGACTCCCTTCCACCATGCAGAACTTGGGGAATTTCTTCCACTCGCTCCTGCCTTATCCTCTCACCAAACTCCACAGCAGTGCAAGGGAGAGAAATGTATAATAGTGTAATACTGCTAATAACTGATGTAATGTTAAAAAAAATTACCAGGCCACTCACATTTATCAAATAATAAAAATCATCATTTTATTGCCTCCATAGGCTCACATAAATTCTACTGCTTCCACACACCTCATTGCAGAGATCTCACAGCCTGGTTCAGCAAGGGATGACAGGATACAAATCCAAACAATAGTCAAAATGGCCGCTTGGAACGCACCACTCCTACCACTGGTGCATGTCCCCTACTGTTTTTTTTCGGGAAATCTACGCTCTCCTAAGTCAGTGGGATGCCTATATCTTTCCTGGGCAAGCTAAATGTGTTAAAGATATTAATTTTGCCAAAGTTACTTTACCTTTTTGAGGCTCTCCCAGTGGCAATACCACAAGCTCAACTGCAAACTCTATAGAAAGCATTTCTTAGATTTATTTGGCATGCCAGAAAGCCTAAAATAGTGAGAACAGTTCTTCTGACATTGAAAAATAACGGAGGCTTAGGGGTACCAGATATTATCAAATAATATTTAGCCACTCACTTGAGACAAACGCAATCATGGTTCACCCAAAAACCCCAGAACAGATGGGCAGAGATTGAATTAGGATATATTTATCCGATCCACACATTTTCATTGTTACGCCCTTTACATTATGTATTACCCCTGTCCCCTCCCCCACTTTTTGCTTGACTCTATGAAATTCACTCTCAAAATTTGGTCGTCCTGTATGATCTCAGCAGTTATTGTCCGTGTGCTCTCCATTGTTGAACGTTTTGTATAATCCGGAGCTCCCAGATAGTCTGTCATACCCACAGACTATCTGGGATATTCCTCTTGGGCAATTAATGGGATATTTCAACTCCGTCATTTTATCAATCCGGTTTCATGTAGGATTCGGTCATTTGAGGAGATTAGGGAGTGGAAATCCACAATACCTGTATCAGCCAGATATACCTGTTTACAGTTCCGTCATTTTTTCCATTCCTTGAATTCTTCTCTAACACTAGACCGCCCCCATTTCGAGAGGATGGCTGTTAGCAGGTCCCTCCCAACATCTTATTACGTTATATGAATAGATGGGAGGAGGAACTTCAATGCCCAATATCTTTGAATTGTTGGCAGATGATTTGGGAATCTGTTTACTAAGATCTCTCGTGTTGTGTATAAAGAAAATGTATATAAAATATTGATGCATTGGTGCAAGACCCCTGTAGGGCTTCATGCGATCAACCCAAATCTGTCTAACAGGTGCTGGAGGTGCATGGGAGGAGTAGACACCTTGGCTCACATCTACATCTTTTGGTTTTGTGTGCAGATTGCGGGTTATTGGGCTATGGTTAAAATGGTCTAGGAGCAAGTACTCAATGTTACCCTTCCCCTAGACCCATTACACTATCTTTTGGGGCTACCCTTTAGGGGTATCTCTAAGCAGTCTAAGGTTGGGAATAAATATTCTGACGGTTGCTAGACGGGCGATACCATGACTCTGGAAATTAGTCGATATCCCCACACTAAATTATCTCTTAAGAGCCATCTCTGAAATCAGAGAAATGGAATATCTTACAGCTCTAGTGGGTGACTACTCAGGTAATTTTTGATCTATTTGGGAACCATGGGATCATTCTCCCTTTGGTAGACTTCTTTCCCCCCCCCCCCCCCCCCCCCCCCCCCCCCCCCCTTATATAGCTCAGACACCTCTTTACTTACCAAGCCTCTGACAAATAATGTAACCCAACGATGTGGATGTTTATGTCATTTTGTGCTTTTGCATTGTAAAGTTTTTCAAGCTGTCTAATTATGTTCACATTTCTTTTGTCTGTGTTTTCTTTTATATTGATTGTGGTTTTCTTTTATTGCAACGTTTACACCTAAAGTGTTGCTGTAACTTTGTTCTGAAAAAATGGGCTTTGGCCTTTAATAAAAATGTACAATATTAAAAAAGAAAAGGTTTTCATGCATGTGGTAGGTGTAAAGCTTGTAAGACTAGTGTGCATAACAAAAGAACATTTTTTTTAGCCACAGCTACAGGAAAAAACCTATAAAATTAAGAGATTACATCACATGTACAACCATGTAATTCTTTTCATTTTTTAGTGTGTCCCCAGCTTTGAGGGATCAGGTTTTATCCACTTCCTGGTCGCAGGTGTCCCAAGATGGTAGATGACATAACTTCCGGGTTCGGAGGTGATCCAAGATGGCCGATGACATCGCTTCTGGTGTCCAGGAAGTGATCCAAGATGGTCGATGACATCACTTCTGGTGTCCAGGAAGTGATCCAAGATGGCCGATGACATCACTTCTGAGCTGAGCCCTAGATGTTTTCAACTGATGTCCATGCGGGAGAGCGGGGTGGTGAGCCACGTAACGAAATTCTACATTATATGTTGGCTTGTTTCTTACATTTTGTAAGTGCATTTAATCTGGGCGCTAATAAATTGTTTTATAAATAGAGAGCAATATGGTTACATTTTTGTATTTTCCATATTACATATTATATGAGAGCATCAGCTGGAGGAGTGTATACTATGGCAGTGCCGGGAGAGGAGCTGGAGGAAGACCACAGAGGGTGTAAACAAGTCTGTCCATATGTTGAGCACATAATGACCTATTGATGAGGTCATAAATTGAGGTGAGCAGGTTTTTCACCTAACGGTGGCACGGTTGGCACTGAAGAGGAGAAGATTTATACTTACTACACATTGCACAGATACTTTTTCATGGGACTTTGTTTTTTTTTTTTATTTTTATATGAGATATTAGTTTGTTGCGCTACACTTTATAGTTATTAATTTTGGTACAGGTATTGTGAAGTCTCTAACAGTGTTAGCATCAATTATTTAGAGCACTGTCCTATTATTTTAGGGTGTGTTGCGCTGATTGAATAGGGGTTTAGATACAGAACATAAAAATGAAACATGAGGGGCGTGGCTTGTCTGCGGGAGAAGATGGCAGAGCTCCACAGCACAACTAAGCACCATTCAGCATCCTAGACAAGCAAAACTTTCACCACTACAGAGGATCCCCTCCCTGGTCCCGCGGATTATGACCCACAACTGTTCCCAACACCAAGGATCACGCAGACTCCTTGAATTTTTCATGCAGCCCGCACAGCACCGGCATGGTGCAAGGAGAGCAGGAGCTACTGCCCACATAGCTTGGGACTGAAGGAGACTCGTTTCTAGAGATGGAGGAATCAGCAAACACTGCTATACAGTAACCTACCTCCCCTGCTCAAAGAGGTAATGTCGGGGATCGCCGCGGCGTTGATCTCGACGCAGGTGCAGTGCACCGCCCTGTGCAGGGACACGGGCACTAGGGCCGACCGCGGCAATCGAGCTCGCGCATGCGCAGTAGAGGCCGCAGGCGCGCGCCTGGCACCAATGACAGCGCAGGGCAGGATATTTAAATGGCCCTGAGCTGTCATTCAGTGCCTTTTGGTTTTATTCTGTATCCTGTATCTGCGAACCTGTTCTTGTAAGTTGCTGACCCGGATTGTACCTGACCCTGCTGTATTCTCCTGCCCAGACCCTTGCTTTGCCTGACCTCTCTCCTGCTGTTGCCGACCTGGCGTGTGACCTGACTATTCTCTGCCCGCTGCTTTGTACCGCATCGCCCCCATAGTTACCGACCCGGCCTGCCTGACTTTGCACTTGCTCAGCCATCCATCCATCCCGTCAGTACCTCCCGACCTCCTCACATCAGGCTCTTCCTCTGCGGGAGCCCTCGGCGGATACCTCTACCAGTGGTGGGTGTGCCCAGTAGTTGCGACCTGGTCTCAGAGCGCTCCAAGTCCATCCCCACCATCAGGGGCCCTGGGGAACAAGTGCTCTGGGACTTAGATTCCGCACTCTGGAAGCACCTTACCGGTCAGTAGAATGCTAGAGGTACCGCCGGGCGGTCCCTTACAGTACCAAAAGGCCATGACTGAGCCTAGAGGAGGGCCCTCCCCGCTGGAGGAAATTTGCACGCATCTATCTAACTTGACGCGGGCCGTAGCAGCCTTGCAGGACAAATGTATGCAGCTGGAGAACCGTTTCCAGACCTGCTCCATATCTGACCCAGCCCCACAGGCCCCGGTCTCCGCACCCCCGGCCACTCTTGAGCCAGCGTCAGGGGCCTCCACCCGCTGCCTATGGCGGAACCCCGAGTACCCTTACCGGAGTGTTTCCACGGGGACCGCACACGCTTCAGGTCATTCCGTGAGTCCTGCCTCCTATTTTTTGAACTTCAACCCCGTACCTTTCTGAGTAAATCTGTGAAGGTAGGATTTATAATCTCACTACTGCAGGGGGAACCCCAAGATTGGGCCCATCGGCTAAGGG